TAGAGCAGCGGTTCTCAACCTGTGGGTCGTGACCCCTTTGGGGGTTGAACGACCCCTTTCACAGGGGTTGCCCAATTCATAACAGCAGCAAAATGACAATGATGAAGTATCAACGACAATAATTTTATGGCTGGGGGAGGTCACCACAGCATGAGGGTCCCGGCATTAGGCAGGTTAAGAACCACTGGATGAGAGATTAACAATACAAAGCGTGGTAGGATATGGAGCAACTATACCTGGGAAAACAATTTGGCAAGTTCCTGTAGTTACCATCCCATGAACCACTCCTACAGATTTATCCCCAGAGTAATAAAAGCATGCGAGGGGGTTTCAAAAAGTGTGTGGAAAAATTCCATTATCCACATAAAATAAAATTACATTTTCCACATAAAGACTTGGATGCAGATGTTCATAACTGTAATATTTCCATACAATGAAAGACTAGTTAGCGATAAAAAGAACAATCTCTGAAACACCCGACAACATGGAAAAAGCACCAAAATTTTTGCTAAGCAATTGGAAACAAGAGCTATATTAAACATAGTGTATGATTCCATTATATGAAATTCTACTTAAACTAACCCAGGGGGATGGAAAGCCAATCTGGGGTGGCCGGGTTTGGGGACACCAGTGGGAATTGACTACTAAAGGGGCAAAGGAAAGTTTCCGAGTGAGGAAACCTACTCTGTCTTGATTGTGGGGGTGGCTACTGGGATGCATACATTTGTCAAAATACATTCTACTTAAAATAGGTGTATTTTATTGTATATAAATGTTATGGTAATCATGCTTGTTAAGAGGAAGCATGTGTAAGCCACTGGTGTAGTAGGTGTAGGGGGAATAAGTCTTAGAGGTATAACATTTTGCCAAATGATTTCAATGAATGTAAGGAACCAATATGTATTGCTATTATAGTCAAATAAAACAATTAAGATTTCAAATAAATAGCAATACATAAGCAGGGCTATAAAGTAAATAGTACAGGTAAGCTTGTCGTGAAATATCCCGCTGTCCCTTCATTTCCTAGCTTTAGTCCCCATACCTAGACTCATAATGACTCTCCAAGACCTTGTAATACTTACTGATTTTCCCACCAGAAAGCTCGAACGTAAACTGGCAGATGTGAAAACATTTGATGAAAGGCCCTTCATTGTGATGTAAGCCAGAAGGACCAGTCACTTAAGCTCAATAACCTCTCCACATTGCAACAGTATTGTCTCTGATTTATAGGACAAACTTCCACATTCTGGAGTTCTCTAATTCCCCAAAGTACATTGTTGTTTATAACTTGAAAGCCACCTGATCACTACAGCCAGGGTGTTTTAAATAAGAGGCCTGTAATGGAAACAAATTTTTACGAAAACATTCCCGAGAAAGAGCCAAAACTCTGCCAGTTCCAGTAATGAAGGAAATGAGAGAGAAATAAATTCTCTTCGTTATTGTGTAATTTTTTAAGATACCATTCATAGTTTGCTTTTTACTCTTCCCCTAAAATGAATTTTGTTGTTGATGCTGAAAATATATACAGCAAAACATTTGCCAACTCACCTGTTCCTGTAGGTGCAGTGTCGTGACGCTGAGCCTCTGAGTTGTGCAAACCTTTTCCTCTCCTTTTCTGAGTTGCTCCTCTCTTCCTGACCTCAAACTCACCGCCCTTTAAGGCACCTATTTGAGCTGCTATGTTTTGTTCTCATATGTTCTTAAAGCAGCGGAATATTTGAGCCGACTTTTGTTTTAGTCGTCAAGCTAAGCTATTGTTTGGTTTTAAGAAGGCTTCGGGGGATGTTTTTTGTTTAAGGTTTAAAGATTATTTCAGGGCAATGATTTCAGGAGTTCACCCATTCTCTCTGGCTCCAGAAAGTCTAAAGTCCATGAGAATATGAAACTCTGTCCTCCACACCCCAGCGCACCTTTTCCCCCCCAATAGGATTATTCTATGGAATCATTGCTCAAAAGACCTGGGCACTTCTGATCTTAATGGCAAAGTAGACCGTTGTTCATGGACGCAATTAGTTTTATGTTTCATATTCTCATATATTCAGGCTCTCCTCCTTTCTCTGCTGCTCTAGACAATAGTGGTTCTCAACTGTCCTGATGCCACGACCCTTTCATACAGTTCCTCATGTGGTGATGACCCCCAACCATAACATTACTTTCGTCGCTACTTTATCATTGTCATTTTGCTACTGTGATGAATCGAGCGACCCCTGTGAAAGGGTTGTTCAGCTCCCAAAGGGGTCGCGACCCCCAGGTTGAGAACCGCTGCTCTAGGTGCCGCGAAACCAATTGTTGGGCTTTTGATGGCCTCTTGCGAGCTTTTAAGACTCCACGCAGTATGCAACCTGCAGGTAGAACAGAAGCACCAAGCGCAGCTGTTCCGCCAATCAGCTGGGACGTAGCGTGAAAGCGGGATCCTAATCGACCAAACCCAGGAAACCAAATCGAGCCTAAGCAGTTACTCCTTGATTCATGTTAGTATAGACGTATATCGATCGCACAACGAACCTTTTTACAGGTACACAACTTACGGATGGAAGTTACACCCGTCAGCTGTGCAAGGTGACCTTGATCAATGTGCTATTTCCACCACCATTAACCTTCATTTCCCCCTTCCTCCTGTTCCTGGTAAGCACTGATAAACTGTGGTCTCTGCTACCGCTGTGGTGTCGAGTCCTACCCATATTTGCCGGGTGGTTGTTTTTTGTGGTGGTCTGTCCATATAAGTGCGGTCACAGAATATTGCTGTGCTTATTAGGTGCATCAAGTTGGCTCTGATTCAGAGTGACCCCATGCACGACAGAAGCAAACCCTCTCTAGCCCTGTGCCCTCCCCACCACTGTGGTTATGTTCGAATCCATCCTTATAACTGACGGGTTCACTCAGCATGCCTCTGGCTCCCTGCTTCGCTGCAGCACGTACTGACTTCGCTTCTCGCAGGCCTGCCCGCGAGTACAGCACCAAAGGACCTGTCTTGATGAACGACTTTATCTTGTGCATGTCTCCCCCAAAGTGTACCAGGTAACTTCCTCAATGAACCTCATCATCGGGAGCATTGTCTGAGGCCTTCGTGGCTGAGTAGTATTCCATTGGATGTATGTATTGCATCTTGTTTATCTATACATGTGGGGATGGGCATCGAGGGCAGGTGGAGTCACCATTGACTATTTGTGAATCCTGCTTCAATCATCATTGATATATTGACTCTCATGTCTTTGCGGTATATACCTAGAAGTCCAACTCTTGGGTCAGATGATCATAGTAAGGGCTGGGATGCTGAGCACTGTCAGCCGGTGGAACGCATCCCCTTCTCCTCGGGAGAAAGACGAGGCTGTGCGCTCCTGTAAAGAGTGGCAGTCTGTGAAACCCTGCCCCGCACTCCACGACCACTGAGTCCACTCTGACTCAGAGCAACCCTTCAGGCCAGAGCAGAACTGCTCCTGTGGGTGTCTGATATGTCACAGTTGTAAGGAGACCTGGGGCTTCGTGGTTCAGACTTGGCCTGCTCATCATAAGGTCAGCAGTACAAAACCACCAGCAGGAAGTCCACGTGCAGTGTGATTCAGAACTGACTTAAGAGCAGTGGGGTTTTATGGTAGCTTACTATTGTTTGTGGGAATCAACACACTATTTTTTACCACAGCTGTTTCATCTTGCATTCCTACCAGTAAGAGATATGCCAAGCCCACTGTTATCAGTTCGTACTCATATTCACTGTATACCACAGGGTAGAACTTTTTGAGCTTTTTGAGACTGTCAATCTTTAAGGGAACAGTGGTCTCATGTTTTTGCTGCAGAGCAGTTGCTGGGTTTGAACTACCAACTTTGCAGTTCCACTCAGTGCTTAACTCACTATACACTGTGACTCCTCAGCAGTGGGTAAGAACTTCAATTTCCCCACATTCACACCAATGTTTGTTATGTCCTGCTTTTTTCTCCCCCTCTCTTTTCTTTCTCTTTTTAAATCTAAGTCATCCCAGTGGGAAAGCAATGGTATCTCATCATAGCTTTGATGTGTGTATCTCTGATGGGTACTGATGCTGAACATCTTCTCGTGTGTTTGGTGCCCATTTAAACATCCTCTTTGGTGAAAGGTCTATTCAAGTTTTTTTTTTAACCCCTTTTATGATTAGATTATTTGTCTTTCTGGTAGGATGTCCAAGTTTTATGTATACTTTGGTTATTAAATTCTTTTTAAACAGCTATTGAAATAAATCTAGAGGTTAGAGGTAAGGAATTCTTTCTGAAGTAAACGTTGTTTACACTTCAGACATAAAATGTAGATAATATTATACTACGAGTAGCACATATTCATACTTGCTATTGAAAATAGAGAACTCCGAACCCTGGCTAGTCTCATCTTAGTGTAGTGTTTTCCACAATGGGTTTCATTTAGGCATTTGTTAACAAACAGATGGAGTGCCTGTTTTTGAGCCAGGTCCTGGACTGGGTGGGGGAACCTGTGATCAGAAAGACATAGCACTTACTTACTCACAACTTGGGATCTAGTAGAGATGTATAAAATCACAGAGATATACTGCTATGCAGAAAATTATTTAATATGGCTCCTCTAGCGATAGCCTTTGTTACTCTCATCCCACGACCTTCCTTCTCCTGATGGGTTGAGTTAAGAAGGTGGAAGAAAGGTACTGATAGGATTATTAGATTCAGCTGTGAGCAATTGATGACAGTATGAAATCAGCCATCTCAGAGGCAGGAGGTGGGGTTCTTATTACCAGCAAGAGAGAAGTGCCAGGAATGGAGCATGTCCTTTGGACCCTGAGATTCCAGGGCATTGAAACTCAGTGATCCAGGAAACAGCCATGACACCAGAGGAGTGATGGAGAAGCAGCAGCAGAGAACCAGGAGCCAGGGCATGGGACAGAGCAATAGACTTCCCAGCTCACCAAACAAGTAAAGCCGAGGGCCTGCAGGCAGGAAGCTAGCTTGTGGAATGGACTACCTTTGGGCACTTAATTGGGGGAGATGGGTTTGCTGACACATGGAACTGGAGTTGTGTACCTTGGAGTGGAGGCTTATAGAAAAGTGGCAAGCCCTTTGGATATTTATTGGCAGCCGTACAAGAGTTTTGTAGCATTGCGCACGCTGGACAAGTGGCCCATGGCCAGAGAGGCCTGCCTGTGAGTACAGCACAAAAGGAACTGTCCTAATGAACGACTTTATCTTGTGCATGTCTCCCCCAAAGTGTACCAGGTAACGTCCTCAATGAACCTCATCATCGGGAGCATTGTCTGAGGTCTGTGTGGCCATTGTGACGAATGATCAAACCCAGCAACACGGGGAGTGCTGTGGGAGGGTCGGTGGCGTCAGAAAAGGCTGGAAAGGATGGAAGGTAGACGCGTGTCTGACCTCTGTCTCATAGCATGTAGCCTTAGGAGTCGGAGGAGACCAGGTACGGCCTTCATGATGTTCACACACACACACACACACACACACACACAGATACACACACGTGTGAGAGTAAAAAGAGTATTGTTTTCAGCTTCCAAACTCATACACACATGAGTTTATTTCATATAAAATGTGTTTAAACTTGTCTCTACGTTCAATGAATGGCTGAAGATAAATTCTCTCAGTAATAACTTGTCTTAATCTTATTAGGATGCTTAACCTGTATCCCAAAAAAAACCCACCCCCCACCGAACCTAAAACCTCCAAAACTGGTTTGGAAGGGGATCTGGTGGGCTATTACAATTCAAGGTCAGCACAGAAGGTTATAAACCCTGTTTTATTGGGATCACAAAGGGATCATCTTGATAGATTCACTCAGACAGGAAGCTCACGGGGTCTTGTTAGGAGGAAGTTTTCAAAAAGTTGAAACTGAATTGGAGAGGAAAAAGGGATTTTTCCCACAATCATGCACCTGCTCACTCTCCAAGGGTGGCAAGGAGTGGCCTCTGAGAATTTCCATGGGAAACTCACCCTGTGCACCTACAGTCTCAATCTCATCCCTTCAGACTTTTTTTGGTTCCCCAAAGGCAAAGATCATTGGTAAGGGAATATGATTTGAGTCCCTCAGTCTGTCTTGGAAGAAGTATGGCCAGAGTGCTCCGTAGCAGTGAAGGGGGAAAGACTTCGTCTTACACACTTTGGACATATTGTCAGTACAGAACAGTCTCTGGAGAAGGACATCAGGTTTGGTAAAGCAGGGGCAGGGAAAAAGAGGCGGGTCTTTTTGGCTGCATCAGTGTGCTGAGGCATGGGGACAGTTGTGAGGATGGCCCCGCACGGGGCAATGCTGTGTTCTCTTATGCAGAGGGTTGCTATGAGGCAGAACCGTCTCGATGGAGCCTCACAACAGACAACAAGAATGCCCAAACTGCTGATTTGACTTGCCATCAATTGAAGATCATAGAATTTTTACGGAAGGGTTCTCAATCTGTGGGTCGCTACCCCTTTGGGAGTTGACCGACCCTTTCACAGGGGTCACCCGATTCATAACAGTAGCAAAATGACAGTTTTGAAGTAGCAATGAAAATAATTTCATGGTTGGGGGGGGTCACTGTATGAAAAGGCCGTGGCATTAGGGAGGTTGGGAACCACTGGGTTAAAGAGATGGCCACAGCACTTTGCCATCAGAAGGGATCGACTTGGATGATGGATATGCTGAGAAACAACACAATAGCTTCACATTTTTGCTTAATAAAGGGTTCTATGGTTTTATATAAATACTTTTTAAAAAATCGTTTTATTAGGGGCTCACGACTCTTATCACAATCCACACATACATCAATTGTGTAAAGCACATTTTTGTACATTCATTGCCCTCGTCATTCTCAAAACATTTGCTCTCCACTTAAGCCCTTGTATTGATACTCTTTGATCTCTCTCTCTTACTCTGTGTGTGTGTATACATGAGTAATTGGTATTAACAAAGCATTAGCAGGAAAGAGTGGTGCAGAGAAAATAGCACTTTCCCCAGAAGTGGGTGAAAGAACAACAGGAGTGCACTATTATAAGGGGGGAAATAGGCTGTCACAGTGAGAAGTCATGCTGAGGAAATGGACAGGATCCATGGAGCTGTTGGGATTTTTGCTTTTGTTTTTAAATTTGTTCATAAGCAAGATAACTGACTCTGGCTAGTATAAACAAAGGGGAACTTGATTGGAAAGATTGGCTTACAGAACTGACGGGAAAGCTAGAGATAGGATCAAGGGCAGCTGTGGAACTCAACTATCTGCCAGCATGAGTTAGTGGCAATGTGCTTTTTTCCCATATAATCTGACTCATTACTCTGGATTTAAAATCTTGAGAAAGAGTCTCATTAACCTTGTATCACAGACGCACCCATTATTGTTCTACCAATGGGGAAAGTAATTCACCAAAAGGAATCCAAGTGCAGGGCCAAAGGAAGTTGGGGAACTGATATGGGAAAACCACCAAAGGCTTTCTGTGCTCTGTTGGGGAGCGTAGATTTTATCCTACAGCCTAAAGGAAACCATTGAAGAATTATCAACAAAAAAGGCTGAGATGACCAGGAGTGTAAATTATAGATCTTTGTGGCCTAAATTGGAGGATGGATTAAAAGGGAGAAATAATAGTATTGGGGAGACTAGTACATAAACACATAGTTGTTGAGGTGAAAAATGGCCAAAGCTTGAATTTGTCAGGGATAAAGATGGATACAGAAGTTGTAGATTGGAGGGGGAAAAAAACCCCCCAAAAACAAAACCCACCACCACTGAGTCAAATCTGACTTATAGCAACTCTGTATAGAGTTTCTGAGACTATAAATCTTTTTTTTCTCTAAATACTTTATTGGGGGCTCATATAATTCTCATCATAATACATACATACATCCATGTGTCAAGCACATATGCACATTTGTTGCCCTCATCATTCTCAAAACATTAGCCTCCCACTCTAGCCCCTAATACCAGTTGCTCATTTCCCCACTCCGTCCCCACTCCCTCATGAACCCTTCATAGATCATAAATTATTATAGTTTTGTCATAAGTTACCCTGTCCGATGTTTCTCTCCGCCCTCTTCTCTGCTGTCCATCCCCCAGGGAGTAGGCAATACTTAGATTCTTGTAATTGGTTCCCCCTTTCTACCCTACATTCTCTTCACCCTCCAGGCATCGCCCCTCTCACCACTGGTCCTGAAGGAGTCATCTATACTGGATTCCCTGTGTTTCCAGTTGCTATCTGTACCAATGTACATCCTCCGGTCCAGCCAGATTTGTAAGGTAGAATTGGGATCATGATAGTGGGCCGGGGGTGGGAGTGGTGGTGGCGGGGGCGGGAAGCATTAAAGAACTAGAGGAAAGTTATATGTTTCAGACTATAAATCTTTATAGGAGTAGATAGCTTCATATTTTTCTTGGGGAGAGGCTGGTGGGCTTGAACCACCAATCTTGTGGTCAGCAGACCAATGCCTAGCCCACAGTGCCAGTAGATAAATAAGAAAGGTATTTGAAAAATTGGACGGAATCTTGGCCAAGTCCCAGGTTTCTGGTGTGAGCATTTAGAAGTCGGTACCATTTACAGAGTGTCTTTTTACCTACTGCAATTCAATTGTAGCAAAAATACTGCAAGTGGTGACTCAGTTTGGGAGACTAGTAGTCAAATCATGACATTGGCTTTAGGGAAGGGTCCTTCCTGGTTGGTAGCCCTGGGCATTCTCTAGTTTCCTTGACTGCTTGAAGATGTATCTTCACATATAGTTATTGCTTGTGTGTATTTAAGTCTACTCTGCACTTTATATAAGATGCACTCAGAAGGGATCAGGTTTAGGACCCATCCTGCACGAATAAGATTTTGTTAGCATAGCAAAAAGGTAGGTAGATCCCATCAAGTAAACTCTGACTCATGGTGACTTTCTGTACAGTGTAACCAAATGTTCCCCAGTCCCGTGTCATCCTCATAGTCACCGGGCTGTTTGAGCCACGCTTAGGTTATGGAATCCAGCTCACAGAGAATCTCCCCCATTCTGGGCCCTCACTTAGCCAAACAAGACATCCTCCTCTAGCGAGTGACCTTTTCGGACAAGGTGCCCAAAGCAAGCAAGTTGGATCCATTCTCTATCCAGACTGATGACTCCTTAGAGGTGAGGATGGTAAGACTTTGGCTTACATACTTTGGACATGCTATCCTCAGACAGGACCATTGCTTGGAGAGGAACACCAAGAGTCAGTAAAAAAGAGGGAGACTTTCCACCAGGTGGGTTGAACCGTGGCTGCAACGATGAGCTCAAACAGAGCAATGATGGTGAGGCTGGGGCTCGGTGGGTCAGTGTTCGGTTCTGTTGCACACAGACCACTGCGAGTCGAAATCAACCCAATGTCCAACAACACTATTTGAAATTTTGAGACCAACTTATTTCACTTAGCACAGCATTTCCAAAGGCCCTCGTGTAGCTTGTATGATAGCTTAGGAAAATAAGGTAAACATTCTTTTTTAAAAATTTAAACAGATCATTTTATTGGGGCTCTTACAGCTCCTATCACAATCCATCCATCCGCCCATTGTGTCAAGCACATCTGTACATATGTTGTCATCATCATTTTCTAAACATTTTCTATTAGAGCCCTTGGTATCAGCTCATTTTTCTACCCCCCACCCTCCCTGCCTCATGAACCCAAGATAATTTATAAATTATTATTTTAAGGTGAACAGTCTTGTAGCTACCACCCACATCACACAATGGGACTTGTAACGCTGAATATGACCCAGAAAATGCTGAATATGAACCAGTTTAATCATAGCCCCCTGCTTTTCTCCATAATCACTACCACTCTGATAGTTATCACTACTTTACTTTTCATTTTTAAAATAGATAAACACATAATTGTATTACCAAAACAAAATGAAAACATCCTAAAAACCCCAAATTTCCTATTGATGCTAATTCCTAGGAGTTTGTTGTGCTACCACACATAGGTCACGAAACTAAACATTCTAGAAGCTTTAAGATCTAACTTTGTAGTAGACCCTCCAAAAAGCTACAATCTGCATTTTTAAAAAGTATTTCCTCTACCAAGAAGCTTATCAGCTGCCCTTTGGATTCTCATTCTGAGCTAAACAACTACCTGAGCACACATGAGCCCTCCATCCATCATTCCAGGATAGCCACTTTTTCATCGTCTTCCTCCTCCTCCTCCTTCTCCTTTGAACCCGTGGGACTGCCAGGATCCTTCCTCCAGCTCTGCTTTTGCCCTTGGCACGGCTTGCAGCCACATCTTTCTCATCTTTCTCATCTTTCTCCTTCAGCTTGGCTGCTTTCTGTTCGTAGGGCTGTTTGTCTTTGGCTGATTGTTCAGACCACATTTCACCTCCACCCCACCCCCACTTTTCCCCCAGTATCCCCAACGGGCAGTCCTGGTGTTCCTTTTGACCTCTGGGCGATGTTCACAGCACACCAAGAAGAAAGCAGATAGGGGCCTGCTAGGGACGCGGGGTCTTTTTTCCTTTCCCATCTGATCACCTTTGGGAGGAACGTAATTTTTCACCTCCCTGTCTTTTCGCGTGCTTTGTCGCTTTTTGCCAAATCTTCAAACTTCAACGTTTCCTTTGCAGACACGGTCTGCCGTCTCTCGGAACACTTCTTGGAGAACTCGGCCAAGCTGACCACTGAGGCCGCGTGTTTCTCCTCGTGAAGCTGAACTGACCCAGCGGTGTCTCTTCTTGTGCCCTCCCCAGCAGGTCTGCACCGAGGAGGCAAGAAGGCGTATGAGGACGCCTTGCCCCACGGCTTGTTG